GAAGCAGATACTTACTTTTAAAACATCTTCCACAGCCATCTTCCCTTCTTGTCCTAGTAAAATAGTGTATGGGTAAAGCCAGTGGATTGCATGTTTGATTGACATCATAGGAAAGGAATCCTATTTAGGAGCAAAAATAGATGTGAATGAGGAACATCTAAAATAAATCTGAAAAATTATGCAAAATATACATGACGTTAAAATTGCCTTATAATTAATAACTAATAGGTTACTCATATTTCCCAGAAGGCTACATAAGCAAATATTCATTATTTCCTCTTTTCTTCCTATTCTACACCCTTTCCTTTGGTAAGCTCTCCCACACCCATCTTTCAGCTTCCATCTATGTGTTGATGGCTTGCATGTTTATATCTCTATTCCTGACCTCTTTCTTGAGCTCTAGACTTGAACTCTCAATTACACATTGGATGTAACCATATGAATATCCCATAGACGCCGATTCAGCATGTCTGAAACTACATGTTTGAACACATCTCCCTACCCTATTTGTCCCAAACTCTCTTCTCCATCTTTATTCCTAATCTCAGTTAATCTCATCCACATGCACCTCGCTTCAAAATTATAACCACAAAGTTATAAACTGTTCATTATCCCCAAATCCTTACCCCCAAATCAAACTGCTTTTCCAGTTCAGTTCACCTTACTTTTAAAAGTCTATTAACAGGGACAATTAGGGAAATTTCAGTATGGACCATCTATTAGATGATATAGATTTACTGTTAATATGCTGAGGCATGGGTGTGATAATGGTGTTTGGTTATATAAGAGAATGTCCTAATTCTGAGAAGTTGCATACTGAAGTATTAAGAATGTTTGCTGTGTACTCTCAAATGGTTCAGAAAAAAATGAGCAAGCAAATGTGGCAATATGTTAACAATTGGTGATTCTATGTGAAGGAATTAGAGATGTTCATTTTACTATTTTTTTTAACTTTTTTAAGATTTAAGAATTGTCCAACTGAAGAGTTCTGAGCAAAAACAAAAGGCACGAAAAGTAAAAGCATAATCAACAGAAGAGAAAAAACAGTTCTAGATGTATAGAACAGTGTAAGCAATACCCAAGAAACCTAACTCACTGACTCTCAGGAAATATAAAATAAATAGCAATAAAAGTTTAAAATGTCTCATCTAGGTGATATCTCATTGTGATTTTAATTTGCATCTCTATGGTGATTAGTGATGTTGAGCATCTTTTCATATGTCTATTGGCCATCTGTATGTCCCTCTGGAGAAGTGTCTATTCAGGTCCCTTGCCCATTTTTTAATTGGATTGTTTNCTCTGGAGAAGTATCTATTCAGGTCCCTTGCCCATTTTTTAATTGGATTGTTTGTCTTCCTGAGTTTTATGGGGGTTTTTAATATATTTTAGAAATTAAGCCCTTATTAGATGTATCATTGGCCAATATGTTCTCCCATACAGTGGGTTCCCTTTTCATTTTGTTGATGGTTTCTTCTGCTGTCCAGAAGCTTTTTAGTTTGATGTAGTCCCATTTGTTTATTTTTTCCTTTGTTTCTCTTGCCCTAGTATGCAAATTAAAACCACAATGAGATATCACCTCACACCTGCGAGAATGGTTACCATCAATAAATCAACAAAAAACAAGTACTGGCAAGGACATGAAGAAAAGGGAACCATAGTGCATTGTTGGTGGGAATGCAAACTGGTGCAGCCACTGTGGAAAACAGTATGGAGTGTTCTCAAAAAAGTAAAACTGGAACTGCCTTTTGACCCAGGATTCCACTTCTGGGAATATATCCCAAGAATTCCAAAACACCAATCAGAAAGAGTATATGCACCCCTATGTTCATAGCAGTGTTATTTACAGTAGCCTAGATCTAGAAATAGCCCAAATGCCCATTAGTAGATGAGTGGGTAAAAAAGCTGTTGTAGCCCTGGGCAGTTTTACTTAGTGGTTAAAGTGTCAGCCTGTGGACTGAAGGGTTTTGGGTTCAATTTCGGCCAAGGGCACGTACCTCAGTTGCAGGCTCAGCCCTGGTCAGGGCACATGCAGGAGGCAACCAATTGATGTGTCTCTCTCACATCGATGTGTCCCTCTCTCTCCCTTCCACACTCTCTGAAAAACAATGGAAAAAATATATATCCTCGGGTGAGGATTAAAAAAAAAGCTCTGGTACAGTTACACAGTGGAATACTACTCAGCCATAAAAGAAAGGAAATCTTACCTTTTGCAACAGCATGGATGTACCTGGAGATTATTATGGTAAGTGGAATAAGCCAATCAGAGAAAAACAAATACTATATGATCTCACTTATATGTGGCATCTAATGAACAAAATAAACTGACGAACAAAATAGAAACAGAGGCATGGGTACATGGAACAGACTGACAGCTGTCAGAGGGGAGGGGGGACTGGATGAAAAAAAGTGAAGAGATTAGCCAAAGAACATATATGCATAGCCCATAGACACAGACAACAGTGTGATGATGGCCAGAGGAAAGAGGGGTGGGGACCAGAAGGAGGTGGGCAAAGTGGGGGAAAATGGGGACATCTGTAATAGTGTCAACTATAAAAATAACCTTTAAAAAAGATAAAAATAAATTAAATATAAATATCTTATCTAGGTGATGTTCCCACTACCTGGGATTATGCTCTTTAACAGAGTCTCTCACTATTTTAATAGTCCCATACTTGGTCCCAGTGCATCTAGGCCCTCCATATCCCTCCTTCCTCCAAAAAGAGGTATCTGACTCCAATAGAAAGCAGTGGGCAAAAGTAGGTTTACAAACAACTGTACTTACTAATGTTTGATGGGCCACTTCTTCCACATTATAAAACCCAGACAACTTCACTCACCACATAAAACACTTCACACTAACGTTCTAACCTATCCACCATGCAGGCTTGCTCTTGTGATACAACTTACTCTCCAAAAGTATCAGGCCCTTTTGGGATTCAACACTTTCTAAGTGCTGTTCCCTCTGCCTGGAGGCCTTCCTGCCACTCCAGACAGGACCATCACAACCTTTGTGATACTGCAGTGGACAATGTCAGTGCTCCACCAAATCCTCTCAGATCTGTTCTTATCTTTTCTGTGCCTCCCAGCAGCCAGCTGCTAAAGATCTTTTGAAAAAGAATATCCTTGAGCTCCCTTTGCTCAAAGGCTGGGAGAATAGCTAGTGCCCAGGAAGTGGTGCACCCTGGGGTGACCATTAACCAATGACTGATGGCACTGGAGTGTAAAAGCCACAGCTCCCCGCATCAGGCTGGGGCAAGTCTGAGGCACAGCTTACACTACAGCATACCTCTGTGTGATCAGCCTAAAAGTCTTTCCCTCTGTTTCCAGAACTTACCTGAGGTGCACATCCACCTTCCCCTCTCTAAGACTGTAAGCTCTTTAAGGGTTCAGAAGACACCATTGATCTCTGAATAGTTTGCTGCACTGAACAACAAATTAATCTCAGTTCTTGCAATATTTACAAAGGAATATGACAAGGCAAACTGAAATGATTAATATCCAAGGATAAACCTTTTAATTTTCTTTGCCTCATTTGGGTATACCAGTCATTACTTTATTCTATACATACCAGGATTTGAACTGCAGCTGGTAAACTATCTAAAGGAAAATCTGGAAGTCCCAGAGTAGAAGATTCTTGGGAACAAAGAGTGGTGGCAAAGGACAAAAGTTGAGAAATTCTAGGGGAAAAAGAGAAATTATATTAAATCTTATTATAACAGTTTTAATATAAAGTATGTACAAATCTGTTTAATCTAAGAAGATGACATCTACTATCAAATTCTTAAGAAACAGCAGCTCCACATTAAAATATTCCATTTAAAACTCAGAACCTGATTAGATAACAGATATATTTCTGAAATCCATCACAATATGTGAAGTTTTTTACAACCTGGCAGCCTCACCTCCCACCTTTCTCAATCTAAACCTATCTCTAGCCACCTGCAGCTTTTTATAGCCTCAAGAATGAGACATACACTCTCATATCCCATGCTTTTAAAAAAAAAAAATTCTTAGAATTCCTTAATTCCATTCTCTATCTGGCAAAGCCTACTCATTCTTTAGGACCCACCTCAAAGTCAATGCCTTTATGAAGTCCTTATAAACTCTCAACCACAATAGCCCCCAATACTTTGAAAGTATTACCTTACTACACTATCTTAAAGTATTCAAATATTTTTAATCTCTACTAGATGTTGTTTCTTGCCATCAAAGATCATGTCTTTACCATGATTTTTATCTTTATCACCTTCTTTATCACTTCTATCATCAGCAATTACCACAGCTACTAAAAAATCCTTCAGAGAATAGTTGTTGAATGAATGAATCAATCAATCAATGGCAAAACAAATTCAATATTAAGTGTCCAGATATTTATATAATAATATATAAATGTACAGATGACTTACTTTTCAGCAGAAACATTGGGTCCAACAGAATATAACAGTCTAAGTTGGTCCTGAAATGACATAGAAATATCAAAACAATTAATAAGGAATATAATAGATTAAATGTAAATGTTTTATAGACAATCCAATCTTTTAATTAAGCCAATACTAAGCAATTAAGAGCAAAAAATAACTTATTGATACATGTTATTTTCTATAAAAAGTAGTCATTTTGAAAATCTGTTAGAAGAATAATACCACAACACTTTTTCTTCCTCATTTCCAGAGACTTTCTTCACCCTGTATCCTTTTTTCTCACCATTAACAACTGAGGAGGACATGTACCAACATGGTAACATTTTCATAGAAACTGAATTTATTATGAATAGAAAAATTGTTTAAAAACTAAATTATCCTTGTTCACACTTACCTTAAAGGGTAGGTAATAAATATCTCTGGCTTGAAATCGAGAACGGAGAGGGGGGTCTAATGGATTCCCAGAGTACTTAGGCACTGGCAAGCCCAAGGCAATCACTCGGAAATTTTCACTGACTCGCACAATCTTCCAAGCATCCAGCTCTGTTTTGGTATGATCCTTAAAGAGTATGAGATCAAAAATTACAGCATAACTAAAATAGATTACAACTGCAAGAGCTTCCAAGACTAAGAAATGTAGGCCCTGACTGCTGAGAACACTCTCAAAATCAAACTGTCAAGGAAGGAAGCAAAGTGAAATGAGGACCTGGATACCAGAACATGAAGACTGATGTGTCAAAAGGAGAAGCAGTGAACACATGAAGGAACAAAGGAGACCTGGGTCGGGTTTCTAAGTCCTACAGAGTAACACAGAGGAACTAAGTCAGGAAGGTAAGGACAGTATACTGGCTCAGACCAGATGATGAAAAAGGTAGTCCCAGAGGGCAGGCCACCGGCAGAGCAGAGCCTGCCCTGGACCTTAAATAGATAACTGTGTCTACGGGTATATTTCTACCAAGGTATATGAATAGTAATAACTAGCATGTATTAAAAACTTACTACATGGTAAGCACTTTATGAATTTTTCTCATTTAAATTTCACCAGAATCTAAATAGACATTTAATTCTTTTTTATGAGTGAATGAACTGTTCAGAGGAGTTACATAACTTGCCCATGGTCCTGCAACTAGTATGTGGTGGTTTTGAAGTTATAAATCCTGGCTCTAGTGCTTAATGCAAACTCCAGCTAAGTGAACAAGAGTATGCCATAATACCCTCTGAGCCTCAGCTTTCTCACCTATAGAGTGAGAATAATATCACCATTACTATGCCTGTAATGAAATTAAATGTGATTATGTATGTGAAAGCAACAGGTCCATAGCAGGCACCTATTAAGTGCCATTCCTCCCATTTCTGCCTGACCTTATCAATGGCTCTTCACTGTCCTCAGCTGTAGAATCCATGGAGCTTACCCAGCTGATATGAATGTGGCCCACATGACAATGTAGAAACTCTTAACATGATTCTCAAGGCCTTTCTTGGCCAGATTCATGTCTGACTCTCCCAGTCTCAGCAACCACTTCACACCCATCCCCTCAGGCCGCCTCTCCTGGCCCTGTGCCTATGCCCATCTCACAACTGTGGCTCCCCAGGCACATCATGCTGCTTCACCAACACTGCTCCACTGTTTGGAATACTCTTTCCGCTTTGCACACCTTAAACATAAGTATCATTCAAAGACAGACAGTATCATCTTTAAAATGGGACCCTTTCTAGTCCCCTCTTTCCATTAGAATCACTTTTGTACCCCATCCACTATGCAAGCGTCTATCATCAGACATTTGTGCACTGACTTCTGCACATAACTGTTTCTTGCTGGATCCAGATCTTGAAAGGACTTAATACCTCTAGCACATAATAGGACAAACGTCTGTTGACTGAATGCATGAAATAATTTTTTTAAATATATCTTTATTGTTGAAAGTATTACAGATGTCCCACCTTTTCCCCCATGGATCCCCTCTACTCCGCATCCGCCCCACCCCCAGCCTTCCCCACACTACTGTGTCCATGGGTTATGCATTTATGCATATAAATTCTTTGCTTAATCTCTCCCGAACCACTCCCCCACCCTCACCTTCCCTCTGAGATCCCTCAATCTGTTCCTGCATTAAGTAATTTTAAAACATAATGAACAATTGCTAGCATTACCAAAATCATGACCCTACATTTCATTAATAGGACTAACACTGACACTATCTCCTATGCACTAGAAAACAAGAATCTGGATATAATCCTGTCTGAGAAATCAGGAGTATAATTTTCACAGAGCTGAACATTTCCATTTCCCATTCATCTGAAAATGATAATCAGAATATACATAAAATTGATATAAACCAATTGTATGTTTCCATACATTCTACTATAATCACCTCTATGAAACCATTAACGTTTTGAGATACTCAAATTTCGTACAGAAATAAATGGGACTTCAGTTTTGGTGCTGAAGTCCTTTTATCACAGAAACTGTCTTAAAGTGGTAATGTTTTGTGAAGAGATCTTGCCTATATTCTGTGAGGTTCCTATGAGACTGATTCTGTGAATAGAGAAATTACACTTACCAATAAAAATTATGTATTTATACTGATATTCACATTGGGGAAAATGCAGTACATCCTTCTCAGTTAATAAGCATGCCTTGTATACTAAAGCCCATTTGAGCCATATCTCAAATTCCTATCCAAAGTAAGACGTTCAATAACTTCACACAGAATTCTATTACATGAATAAAGAATATATTGAAGTTCTTGTTATGAAGTAACTCATATACCTTAAAAAAATGATTCCATAATCTAAGTATTCTTTTCCAAATTGCTCACTAAAAGCAGCAAATAACAATATAGAGGCAAATAATAGTTATTTTGTAATTAGAAAATATTTAAAGAGAAAATGTTCTGTATCATATCTACCTACCTTTAAAATAAATGTAAATTATTCTTCTATTTACATTTATTTACATTATTTATAAAATATAAATTGATAAAACAAGATTTTTAAAAAATAAATAAATAATAAAATAGCTTTCATTTCATTTCAATAAATTAACTGTAACAATATGAATGAATGACTTTAACTTTTCTTACTGATTAAACCCTCAAATATTGCCCTAGCCAGTGTGGGTCAATTGGTTGGAGCATCATCCCATACACCAAAAGGTAGTAGGTTCCATTCTCAGTCAGGGCACATACCCAGGTTGCAGGTTCAATCCCTGGTCAGGGCACCTGCAGGAGGCAGCAAATCAATGTTTCTCTCTCTCTCTCTCCCTATTCCTCTCTCTCAAAAAAAAATCAGCCTGGGCAGGCATGGCTCAATGGTTGAGCACTGACCTAGGATCCAGGAGATCACGGTTCCATTCTCGGTCAGGACACATGCCCAGGCAGCAGGCTCGATCCCCAGTTGGGGGCATGCAGGAGGCAGTCGATCAATGATGACTCTCTCATCGTTGATGTTTCTATCTCTCTCCCTCTCCCTTCCTCTCTCTGAAATTAATAAAGATATTCAAAAAATTTCAATTAAAAAATAAATCCTCAAGTATCCTCTTGTTATTATACTAGTATGGTGCCATCTTTAGATACAGCCAAAAGAAAACAACTACACTGCACAATGAAAACACCAGCTAGGGTCTCCCATAAATAGTAAAGAATCAGAGTACTGAAAGGATTGCAAGACATGTTTCCGAGAAAACAGATTCAGATGGTGGAATCAGAAAGAGATGCTCCTGGTCCTACCAGTTGTGGAGCATCAGTTCAATCAGACCCTCTGGTGACAGCATCTATTATTTGGTGCCTAGGTTGTTCTGGGTTTGTATTAGTTCCCTGGGAGCAGAATCAAAAAGAAGCTTGACACAGATCCTGCTCTTAAACAATCTGTAAACAACTTGGGGTAGTAAGATTAGCACATATGTATCTCTACAGAATAGGTGTGAGAGAGATTCTAAATCCTAGGATGCGGAGGCAGAACATCAGTCCCTGGAGACATGGTGAGCCAGAGAGCTCCATTGTGGAACAGCTGGAGCTGAGTGAACAGGGCTGCCTTCTTGTCCTTTTGTAAATTATATGGAACCCTTCTCCAAAGCCTTTGAAGAGTCCCACACTCCCTTGTTGTGCCCCTCGTTATACACACTTGTATCACAGTATTTAAAGATTTTAGTGTACTTATTCATTCATCTAACAAATAGTTATTGAGCACTTACCTAGTGTCACGCATTGCTCTAAGAGCTTAAGATAACATCAATGACAAAAATCCTTCCCCTCGTGAAAGTTATAATCTAATAAAGGGAAACAGAGAATGAACTAAAAACATAATAAGTAAATCATATAGGATGTTAGAAGACTTTATGGGGAAAAGAATAGAGCAGAGTAAGGGAGTATGGGGGAAGAGGGGACATTACAATTTTAAACAGGAGGGTTAGGGCAGGCTTCATTGATAATATAATATTTGAGCAAAGACTTGAAGGAGGTACAGAAGTAAGCCGAGCAGATATCTGGGAGAAAACCATTCCCAAAGAGTAAAGTGTCTGTGCAAAGCACCTATAAGGTAGGAGAATGCCTATCCGGCATGTTTAAGGTATAGTAAAAGGAATTCTAGCAGCTGGAGTGGAGTAAGAAGAAGGCTAGGAGGAGATAAGGCCCACTGTAAAGACTTTGGATTTTATCTGAGAACAGGGGAATGACCTGATCTGTCGCATGTTTTAAAGTGATCACTGAATGCTGTGGGGCAGGAAGGATGGAAGCAGGGGGTCGGGTCCAGTTCAGGGGTGGGGAACCTTTTTTCTGCCAAGGGCCATTTGGATATTTATAACATCATTCAGGGGCCATACAAAATTATCAACTGAAAAATTAGCTATGATAAAAGCTCCTAGATTTACTGAATTTCATGTCCTGCCTGCAGTTGCCTTGGCAGGGCCAGACCAAATGATTTCTTGGGCTGTACACTCCCCACCCCTAAATAAAAGGCCAGTGTCTTGTCACTTTAACATCAACAACAAAAACCCAGTAGATGTGTAATTTAAACAATATGTTGAAATGGGAGATGTGGTGATTATAATGGGAAGTTTTTGTGAAAGTTAGGTGCTCTTAGAACAACTCAGGCATCAGAGACTGGTAGCTTGAACCATTAAGGGTATCTTTTATTGTTTTTTTAAAATATGTTTTTACTGATTTTAGAGAGAGAGAAAGGGAAAGGAGAGAGATAGAAACATCAATGAGAGAGAAACATCGGTCGGCTGCCTCCTGCACGCCCCCTACTGTCCACAACCGGGACATGTGCCCCAACTGGGAATTGAACCTTTCAGTGCATGGGATGACATCCAACCAATTGAGCCACACTGGTCAGGGCCAGGGTATCTTTTAAATATCTTACTAATTTCTGTCAATATCTCCTGAACTTTGAGCTTCCTGAGGCCAAGAACTGAATTTTTTCAGCTTTGTATTCCCGCCACTGTCTAGAAGCCACTAGACTCTTAGTAAATAGTTTTTGAGAGATGGAAAGTGGAAGACAGGAAAGGAGAAAGAAAGGGAAGAAGGATTAAAAGGAGAAAGAAAGAGAAAGAGGAAAAAAGGGAGGGAGGAAGGGAGGAAGGAAAAAAGAAAGTTATTAGATTGGCAAGAAAAAGTAAAAATCTTGGAGATTTTCTAACATGGTCAGCAAATATTAGAAGAGCCCTATAAACTGCAAACTCATGACCTGACTTCAGCAATTTGCTACAGATCAGATGTGGGCCACCTGAATATGTGCCCTCATTCTGATACAGTTGTGTCTTATACAACAAATGGCACTACCCACAGCTCAGCAGTTAAGACAGAGCAGCTGAATTTTTCTTTTCTTACTTTGAGAAGTTTGTCATAACGCTCTGCAGACATTAGGAAGCGTCCATCTTCAAGCTGCATCTCCCTATTTTCCAGCAAGTTGTTCAAAACAGGCAAAACATTCCTCTCCGCCTTTTCCAAGCCTTCCAAAACGAGAGTTCTGCCTTCTGTGGCTGCACGAACTGCACACTATTTCCAAGAAACAAAAACAATATGAGAATATAGAAGATAGCAGAACATGGCCTAATTTTACTTGTAATGCAAATGATATTTGTGTTTCTCATTATAGGGACTGGAAATCAGGAAAGCTGGGTTCCAGTTCTTGATTTTGCTTTATCTACCTAAATGATGTTAGGCAAGTGATTTTTCCCTCTTTAGGCCTGTTTCCACCATTTGTAAAATGAAGAGATGGGAAGAAATTATCTCTAAGGTTCCCTTCAGCTGTAACATTTCAGATAACACCCAATGAAATAGAAAACTCAAAGCTATCTTTGAATCGGTAACATAACTAAACAAGGAAACAGAATCCTTAACTAGAAAAGGAAATGAAGATACAATCTGTCCTATCTATCCCACAAGCTTCTAGAGAGGACCAAATAAGCTAGCTGAGAACACATGGAGACTGTAAGGTTTTAAACAAGAGTTACCATCCAAACAAATTCAGGTTTATTCCAATGTTCAATGCTGCCAACATTACAAACTTACCAAATTTTTCTAGTGAAATCTTAAAAAAAGGGGGAGAAAAGTGCATACATATTTTATGTGGAAAGATTACTTGTGATTGTTTCTCAAAGCAGAAATTACATCAACCATACAGATCCTTTCCTGCACTTCAAGCTACAGAACTTCAAGAGACCTAATTTTCTCAAACAGAAGTCAGAAAAAATATAGCAAGATCCTTCTGGACAAACCACCTCATACAACAGGTTTAACAGCCCAACATATGGACACAAAGGATTTCGAGATAAAAGCAGTTGCATGACCTAAAATAAAAAATTGTGTAAGTCTCTGCTCTAGATTTGCTTCTGATTTGATAAAAGACCTTAGGCAAACAATTAATCTGGAGGTCTGTGTCCTCATTTCCTAAATGAGACTATCCTCAAGGGATGTTGTACACTATTGCTATTTCTGAATCAAAGCAGTATTGGAAAAAAATTTAAAGCTATCAAACCTATTAAAATATAAATTATTTTTAATATAGCCATGATTTAATGAATATAAGATTCAAAAGAGCTTCAAATTACTCAAAATTGTTACAGTGTAATAGTACTGACGAAGCCAAAGAAATTTTAAAATTTACATTTCAAGTTTTATTTTAAAATGTCAGAATAGGATCAGATCAATTTTTGGTTGCTTTAGCACTTATGGGCTTACCAGTGACTTAGATTAGTCACTTTACCTCTCTGAGCCTCCATTTCTTTCTAAAGCTACACTAATTATGGTACATACCTCACTGATTATAGTGAAGATTAAATAAGATAACCTGTGGCACACAGTAAGCCTTTAAGAAAGGACTGGCTGTTATTATTGTGAATTCTATCATCCTTGTCATCAGTTGTCATCGTTATCATCATTGCTTTTTCAGGGAAGTCGCATAATATAGTAGAAAAAACCTAAACTTTGAAATTGGATAGATCCTGACTCAAATTCTACCTCTGCTATTTATCAGTTGTATGGCCATGGCCCTCTAAGGCTCAGTTACTTCACCTATAAACTGAGGAAGTCATCTCCCTCCTAAGGGTGTTTTAAGAATTATTTATGTCCCTTGATTTTTTTAAATAAATTATACAAATCTGCCAAACAGTTAACATTATATGAGTAGATAAGCATTGGCAACATGGTAAGAAGCCAAGGCCTGAGTTATGACTAACAAAGAGGCCAAAGTAAACATAGACTTTCTCCAATTTCCAAGTGACAATTAGAACATATTATAACAATATGGCTTCAAAGGATCTGGTGCAAGTATCAGAATTCAGCCAGTCTCAAGAGCTTGGCTTCTATAAGAGATGATTTCCAAATTCCAAGTACTTAATTCATTATATGAGTAGAATAAACTTCTGAAAGACAACTTTGTAATTTTCACAGTGGTTACATGTGGAAAGTAGCATCAGCATCAATAAATGAGATAAAATTTACAAATAAATGTTTTCCTTATTTCCAAAAAGAGTACAAGGAGTTTAGACAAGATAAAAATCTTTTCTGATCAATAGCACTATTATTCAATTTATTAAGGGTTGCTTTTGATGACCTGTAATATTTAAGCTGTGCATTAAAAAACTTAACCATTATTTTTTCTATTAGTAAGAATCAAGAATAATCCAAAACAGAATACATTAAAATATCATAAAATTATTTAAAGTGCATTTTTATACTTAATATTAAATATGTATATTGTACATCAGGGAACTTCACAGTATCTTGTCAAACAAATTAACAAGATACAAATGTGAAAAGAGTTCGTGGCTGAAAAGTTTAAGAAAACCATTTGAACTTCCCATCCTGGCTTTCTGCTCCCAAAATTAACATGATAAGGAGTGTCTCCTCTCAGTCAGACATAAAACCTAAATGTAATTTATTTGTAGCTTAGTTCATTTGTATTGGTTTATATTTGAATAATCTAAGCAACTGTACATTGACTTAAAGTCCTCCTCTCTGTAGTCACAAGGTAATAAACAGAATTAATTATTAGAATGGCAATAAATTAAAAAAATGAGGACAGTAACAGATTTTTAAAGGGTTAGAATATTGATGATTTAGGCTTTTTCAGGTTATTTTATCTTCTTTATTTTTATTAAATAAAAATATCTCATTTCTCCATGGGTATCATATCATCAGTCATAAATATTCATATTTCTGGTCTTTAACAAATTCTTTTTTTAAAGTAATGTATAATTTACTTACCAAAGTAACTGCATTAAAATATTTAAATTACCTTCACATCAACAAGTGGGTAAGTTATGGCAAATATTCACACAGACAAACATGGTATAAATGTTAACACTTTTTGATAGGCTGTAACTTATTTATTTCATCAGTACCTCTCTCTCCTTTTCCTTAACCACTCAATTTATTCACATCTTACAGAAGGAACAGCCAATAAACATAAAAAGTGTTCAACGTGGTTAGTAATTTTTAATGCAAATTAAAGCCTATCAATTTGGCAAAGTACTCAATATTAACAAGAATACATGAGGCAATCACCATAGTGCACTGATGACAGTGTAAGTTGGAACACCCTTTCTGGAAAGCAATTTGGCAATAAATATATATCAAGACTTTTGAAAATGTCCAGACCCTTTGATTAGCACTTATATTCCTAGCATTCAAATCTAAAAAAGTAATGCGATAATAACAAGATATAGGTTAGTATAATATTCACCAAAGTGGTAATTATAATAGCGAAACTTTAGAAAGAACCTGAATGACTAACAACATGGGAATGTGGATAAAATGGAAACATTAAATAAATAATGTCACATGTATTTCATAAAATACTATTTGGATACTAAAAATCATATTTTTGAGGAATATCTAATGTTATAGGAAGATGCTCCTCATAAAATATCAGGTTTTTTAAAAGCAAACTATATAAAACTTCATATACATGGTATACAACATTTTTATAAAAATTACACATGATTAAATAAATATGCATATAGGTATAATAGAAAGAAATGCAGAAAATATTAACATTGCTGTTTTTAAAGGGGAAGATTACTAGAAATTTTTATTCTTCCCTATGCTATTTAGCATTTACTTTATTATACTATCCTTCTTTCCTCTGTTTCTTTTGTTTTCCCCACTAAAACATAGGCTCTATAATGACAGGAATTTGTTTTTTTCGTTCAATGCACCTAGAGAGCACCTGAAACATAGCAGTCATTTCAATAAATATTTGTTAATTAATAAATACTATATGTGTGCATATATGTTATATCTATAAAATAAGCATTTATGGCTTTGTTAACAAGAAAAAATCATTATTTTGAAAGAAAATATAAATTACCCATATAAAATTAACCTAATTCTGACCTTCAAGCATAGCAGTTGAGTTTAACCTCTCATTTTATCATCATCCTTAATCCTATATGAAAATAAACAGAGGTCAAATGGCCATGAACCCCAACTTGGACTTGGGAGTTTTGCCAAGACTTCCAGCTGAAATGTCAGTTAATAATTACTTGGACATCACTCATAATGTGCATACAATGTCAACCACACTGAAAACCCCAAACTTTCTCTCCCAGCACCCACTACATGGCCCCATGTACTTTTTCATCAACACTGGCCCACTTAGATTTAGAGGCATTACCTGATAATAAATGAAGATATTGTCTCTCCCTTGACCCCAGATATCAAATTCAATAGTTAAGAATATTTAATATATAAGAAGATTCTAAATTAGATAAATATAAAGACCTTTTAGTCAAACATATGACTAGCTGGTAATCAACTGGCAACTTCATCTATTGAGAATTCAGGTGGGAATTACTCATTTTGAAGACTCAAAATAGATGTCAAAAAGTCAGACAGCTTTTCCATTGGAAAGCCCTGGTTTTATCCAGAGCCTATTTACACTTAATTTATTTAAAAATTAAATGAGGTTGATTATCCAAAGGAGAAATCTATCTTCCAATATAAGTGCCAATTATATTCCAGACACTTTTTAGGTGCCAGAGATAAGCAAGATAGTTACATTCTGGTGAGGAAGGCAGACAATAAACATGGAAACAAAGAAATATTTAGGTAAATTCATACAGTGATGGGTGCTCTGAAGAAGATTACATTGTATAATATGACAGCATGGTACATGTAGGAAGGGGGTGGGCATGATCAGTGATTACTTTAGCTAAAACATTCTGAGAATTTATAATCTGAATGAGGAGGCAGCAATACACAGATCTGAAGACAATATACCAAGGGGAAGAAATATCAAGTACAAAGGCTCTGAGGATGAAAAGCATTTGGTCTATTTTTAGAGAACAAGAAGGCCACTGCCGCTGGAGCCTAGAAAGCAAGGGAACAAGGGAAAGGAGATGCAGGGGACAATACTAGGTCCTATACAATGTTGTAGGCTGTATTAAAGGGTCTAGATTTTATTCTGGGTGTGATGGGATTTCATGGCAAAGAAGTAATAGGATCTGATTATGAGCAAACAGTAAGGAATATTAAGTGCCAGGAAATGAGATAGAAGAAAAAAATATGAAAATCAGATACAATCTCAATAAACAGTCTGAAGCAATTTAGAGAAAAGACCAACATTCCTACACCACAGTCACAGGCTCTGAAGGGGTCAGTGCATTACAATTTCCTAAATAACTTCATAATCAGTGGGATTCCCCTAAGAAACCATAAAAGTATAAAATACTATGATACATTTATATAGCACTTTATGTATTTTCTAAAACGCAAAATAGATTATCATATGAAAATATGCTTTTTAGAATGGCAGGAGGGTAGAATATTATAGTTTCATCTAAATATTTTACTTTATGTTTCAAGAAATAAAGCTCTAGCTAATCAATACATTTATTTACTTAAAACAACTCAATTTCTGAAATCTCTGAATAGCCAAAGTTTTAAGCTGTCTTTAAAATTACAAACATAAAAATCCACTTTTTCTTCCTCACTATTTGCATTGCAACAATCAATCTGAATATAAAATTCATTCAAAAAATGTTTTTAAATCCATACTCTAACAAACAAAGCCAGTTCTTTCACTGTCATTTAAACACATTCCTACCTCCTCCCCTCTGCTTAGGCTATCTCATTTTCTAATCCTTCTCACCAGCTCCTCACTATCCCAACTCAAATCTCATGTCCTAACTCTCATCCTCACTGGGTCCAGAAAAGACACAAGCATTATTAAAGGTAAATTTTTCCCCATCTGTAATTAGAAATAATCTATGAAGTGAACCTTTGGCATCATGTGAATAAAATGGACTTCTTTTAAATGTACTTGTGTGCTTCATCCGCAGGGGATTACTTTTTAATTGTTGGAAATCTGAACTTCTCAGATTTTCCCACTAAATGATGCTAAGTTTCATCACCATCTAAGAGGTGACTGCCATATCTCTCCATTTTAAGTGCATTTTTCCTTTTGTAACTAATAGTAATATATGCAACATATTAATATCCCAGTCTCAAAAAATTTTTCACTCCATGGATTTTTACAATTATACTTCTTAAAATTATAGAGTAATAGTGTACTCATGTGATAAGCTTCAAATTTAAAGAACTTTGAAAGTTCTTCCTCATCCCACCCCAGACGCCCAATCACATTTCCACAGAGGTAAGCTCTGTTGACAGATTCTTGTGTTTCCTTCTGGAAATTTTCAATGCAACATGAACATTTATATATTTCTTTTTTTCTTTTTATCACAAATGGGATCATATTATATACACTGTCTTGCAACTTAGGTTTTTTCATTCACATCCTGGTCTTCTTTCCTATCACTACACATATATTCACCTCATTCTTTTTAAAGGCTACAGAGAACTCTACTTACTGCTTTTTATTTACCTCCTAAATGTACATCATTATAGTTTTCATTTATACTTTCATATGATATCAAACAATACTACAATAAACAACCTTGTATATATAACTTTGCATGGTTGTGTGAATAACATTTGGAGGAAAATTGCTAGAAACATAACTGCTGGGTCAAAATATATCCTTTTGATAGGTACTGCCAAATTGTCTTTTAAATTGCATCAACAACAATGCTCTTTCCTCAGCCCTTTTTCCTCATCAACAATGGACATTAGCAAATTCCTTCATCTTTGCCAATCTGAGAGGTAAAAGAAAAATAGCAGTTCACTATTGTTTTAATTTTTATTTTTGTAAACAAAATGGTCAAGCATCTTGTCACAAATGTATTGGACATTTAAAATATTTTCTCTATGAAATGCTCATTTAAAGTCTCTGTCCCTTTTTTTCTAGGTATTCCTAACAAAGAACAATATTTAATATTTTAAGCAATAATTTGAAGAAATGCATAAGTTTCATTATAATATTCATAAAATATTACTTTAGTTAGTAATCTGTACCTAAGAACCACCTCCCCAAGCTGCTCCAAAAAGCTTTAGTTTCAGGAAGCATATTTAATTTCACTGTTTAATATACCTTTACCTACTTGACCTTTAGATTGAGAATACTTTAGTAAATGTGCTAGAGAATTTCCTACATTAAAATTTCTTTAATTCTTTAAAAAAAAAAAATCAGAATTCTATAGGGAAGTAGTAGAAAGTAATTGAGAATTAAGAAAATGGCATAATGATCTTTAGCCAACATTTTAGAACCATTAATTTCATCTATGGTTTCTTATTTAGTGTTAAACCATGAAGGCATTTCCAAGAACAGACTCAAAAAATCTAAATCAAATATGTCTAGAGAGTGCAGTACAGCTATCTCTCACTACTACATGAGCTACCACTCTCTACTTTAAAAATCAATTCTGTACAGACCTGGAGTAAACAGCCACGCCTTAGAGCGTGATCAGAACTTGCCTGATCGATGTAAAAGGCGGTGCCTGCGCGGATCTCTCGACGCTGTTTGAGATCAGTTTCCGTGGTGTCCCTTGACAAGGCAATGTATTCCACTTCCCGTTTGGTCAGCTCCTGTAGAGCAGAGAGTGCAATTGTTCCAAAATAAAATCAAATTCCCAACATATGCTTTGGAGCTGACAATGCCACTGCCCCAGAGAAGTGCATTTAAATGTAATTCTAGATTAAAAAAACCTTCTGAGCCACAGCTTTGGAAAAAAAAAAATGCAATAAATTGAGCATTAATCAAAACATGTAGAGTTCTACTTTTACTGCACCCCATAATTTACCACGTAATAATTATTTACTATTTAAACAATAATAATAAAAATTAGATCTTATAAATCTTAATGTCTCCTGTAGAATTCTTTTCGAACGTCATGAGTAATAATTTGGTTACTTGGTTTTCTACCAAATGATAGCCATTTCTGCAAGTAATGTTCATCTTTTTTTAAAGGGTGATGTAAATTAATTCATTCCATTAGCCAGTGTTTACCAATTATAGACAACATGTTACGTACTTTGCCAAGTGTGAAAATAAGGTAAATACCAACAGAAAGGTCAACAGAAAAGAAAGACACATACACAGCTATACAGGAAGGAAAAGAGGAAAAGGGATGAAAAGGGTGAGAGGGAGAGGGAAGAGGAGGAGGGGGAAGGAAAGAATTATTTTACCCCAAAAAAATCATCTATGATTTGAAGGGGCAACCATCTAGAATCCGTTTCTTTTAGAATAACTTATCCATTGCTAAAGTCACTTTGCCCTACATGTAATATCCATGAACAAAAGGTTTTTAATAATACCCTTGATTTTACAATGTTGAATTAAAAACAATAACATTCTCCAACTGAATAAGGCATACAATATGTTTTTACTGAACAGGAAAAACAAACTAATTTACTGGAGTATAAAGAAAAGAGTTGAATAAGCATGCTATTAATAATCACTCACTAATTCAACTTATTTGTTTATACTCCAGCAAATTATTTTATAGTCCAGAAAAATAATTTTTTTCTCCACTTTATCTCCATGTGATGTTGATAAAAATATATTATTGTTGTTAATTAGTTTTCTTAAAATGTGCCATTTCCCATGCACCCATAAATTTAAATATACATGAAAAGAAGAAAAAACATTTTCAATAGAGAAAACACACATCATCGTAGTGATGTCTTTTTAAATAAGAATGAACTGCCTGTGAGCGCACAATTTTGGAGTCAAGTAGAAAGTTCTTTTCTGCAGATACCTCCTTCTTGCTTCTGAAACCCTGTCACTCACTTTGGTTGACAAAGTGATACATGCCTCTTATCACTACATTGTACCACAATAATACCCTGGACTGCCACCCCAAGGGTATTATCCTTAGTCTTGACAGCTTCCTGGGACTCTTCATCAGCCAAAAGAAGCACCACAGTCTCCTCAGTTTCTGTTTCACAGAAGCATTCTAAGTGAGCTTACAAAAAGCACCAAGCAGCAGATGGAGGGGGCGGCAGTGGTCTGTTGAGTTTTTTTGAACTATCCAGAAAACCCCTTTTATATGACTTAAATATAAATACAACTATAAAATTATTTCTACTTAGTTTCTCACTGATTCAGCAGGCTTGCCCCCAAATTTCTGCCTTTGCAGACCTCATCTATTGTGGCTTTTACTAAGTTAAGCATAGGACCTTATATCTAACGGTAGTACCCACAGCAGAGTTTACAAGGCAGCTTAGGCTAGTAAATTTTCTTACGTATGTTTCCACATCCTAAAGCTGCCTCAGGACTATTTCTCAATTTAAAGTTTTGTTTTGTTTTAAGATACAGACTTTACCCATATAAACTTATGTTGCATTTTTTAACCAAAAAGACTCCTATAATCTCCTAGCCCTTCTCATTCCACATTCCTTCCTAATAAGCTTCAAAGTCTTGCCAGAAACAAAATCAAAGTGAGATATTGTAGTTTTGAAATCAGCCAGGTGGAAAGCACGCATCTTAAAATTAAAGAGGTTCTAGACTTCAAATTCTCGGGAACTGACTCTACATTCTTAAACAAGACACATTTGCCTTGTATAATAATAAAGTGAGGATAGAGGATACAATGCATACAATGGCATATTACACCTCACAAACTGGTTCTAGGAACAAAAGATATGAAATGTATGGGCTAGAGGTAGTTAGGTTCTGATTTGTTCATCGTATTATCACTCCTGCTGTATATGATTTAGTGAGTACCAAAATAAATTCACCATTTGGCATAAAAGAGTACACAAAGTATATTTCTATAGCATAGAAATCAATTCTTTAATATCAAGAACACAAGGAAGATTTAAGCAAGGTTTTTCGCTTCATCCTAAAAAGTATCTTCAGAACAAAACTTCATTTGATAACATTTTTTCCTCAAATCACTAAAGTAATGCCTACAAATAATGACACAGTAGAAAAAAGTATTTTAATATTTTTTTACTTTGATTGAGAATTGAATACTTCAGCTCACTTCACAATATGCTCAGAGAACTGCAAACATTTAAAAAGATAACATGTCAGAAAAAGGAAACAATATGAGATTTGAAGTCTAGCTCCATCATTACCTAGCTGAATAAAGCTTGAGTGAGCTATTTAATGAACTTGTTTTCTCATCTGTATAACACATAAGAGATATTCTACAAACCTTAGGATCCCTTTCTAAAGAGCATTTAATATAAAAAAGTCAAGAGAACTATTTGCCCTTTTAAAAATGTAGAATCGAGATAAAAGAATATTTCCTAAGTAGTATAAATGTAAGTTTTGTTTTGTAATCTCAGAGTTGCTGGTTCTATCTGCTACTCATTGACTGAATTTATATTTCCTTTCCACTGGAAGTGGAAGACTTTCTACTTAAAACAAAAATTTCCTACAGCTATGAAAAGCAATACATTTGCTTCCCAAATAACTTATTCCAAACTCTTTGTAAACAAATCAAATTTCAACATTAACAATTTTTTTTGAGTAATGACTTATCCTGGAATTTTTATAAATTCTTTATCTTAATTTATTTTCCAACATAACTTATCATTGTTAAGATCCTTAAGAATGCACAAGAATTGACTGCTTACCAGGTACTGCATAGCAATAGAGCGTCGAAGAGGCCCAGGAGGTCCTATTAGAAAGACATCCTGCCCCAGAAGATCCTTCTGCATTATCCATCTCAGATGCTGAATTACAGATTGAGCCAGAGAGTCTGAAACTTTAAGGGGGAAAAGGAAAAAGTGAAATGCAATCCGACTACTACATATAATATAAATCTCCAAGCAATCGCTGAAAACTGTATATTATATTAAAATACATATAACATGCATATAAACACACATTGATACATACACCAGGTGAATTTTCACACCACTTTACAATAAAGCTATCATTATCTATATTAAAATAGGACAAAGTTTATGATATCACAGAGAGTCACATAACACTTATAAGCTTATAAGAACATTTGAACACTCACCTATAAGTGTTGCTAAAGGAATGAAAGTGATTTTCAAGTGTGCTATGAGGAACAGTATCATTACTATATCACACTTTTATAGTTTACCCCTTTTGTTCTAAAAAGGGGATGTGATCAAAGCATCCCAGACAATGAATGATCATTGTAGTCTTTTAAAATTTAAGAAAACTATATTATAACTTAGTTAGCAATGGGTTGTGAGATCTCAAACTTCACAGTTAAAAAGTTTGATGAAGATTTAAATGCCTTCTTTGAATTTGTCTGTTCTTCTACACCAATTCTTTTGGGAATAGAAGACTGTTCTATGCAATGCCCTTCTAAGTGTACTATTAAATCACCCATCAATCTGCTCATCTTCTGCCTACCCATTTCCTAAAATGTTTGAGTTAATATAATTAATTTGTGTTTGCTCATTTGTCAATCACCCAGTGACAGAGCAGGTGCATTCCCAGATACATAAGAAAAACTCTCACCCTTGAACATCAGGAGACACATAGAATACTCACAGCAGTGTTATTCAAAATAAAACTGGAGACAGGAAATGGATAAAACATGCACAATACAATGACAAAAACAGAATGAACTACCACTACTTGCAACAATATGTTTAACTCTTAAAAGGTATAATATTGAGTGAAAAAATTAAGTCTCAGAATGAGTCACATATGATACTATTTTGATAAAACTCAAAAAACTAGCAAATTGAGTTCGTTAGAAATATATACATATGTGATAAAACAGTGTTTGAAAAAGCAAAAACGCAAGAGAATGATAAATTCAGGATAATGGATTCCTGGGCATGCAATCAGATTCTCAGTTTCAATGGTAATAGTAATATTCTAGTTTTTAAATTGGGTGTGGGCTACAGTGTTTGTTTTACAATTGTATTGCATTTTATACATAAACACACACACATGCAGATATATATACTTTTTAATCCTCACCCAAGGATATTTTTTCCATTGCTTTCCAGAGAGGGTGAAAGGGGGAAAGAGAGAGAGAAACATCGATGTGAGAGACACAAATCAATTATTTGCCTCCCACACTTGCCCTGAACGGGGCCGGGGATCAAGCCTGAAACTGAGGCATGTGCCCTTGGCTGGAATCAAACCTGGACCCTATAGTCCATGGGCTGATGCCCTAACTACTGACCAAAACCAGCTTGGGCAAGATACTTATATATTTATATGTATTGAATATCCTAGCCTTTCCAAATGCACCCAGCCCTAGCAGAGGGAGCCACAAACTGTGGATTGCTAAAAGCTCCAAACAGGGCACTCAGGGCCAGTCACAAACAGCACCTTGTCCTGCACAAGGACCCTCCAAAAAAACTGGGAGTCATAGCAGATCTACCTAGTACATAGAAACAAATCCAAACAGGCAACCCAAATGGGGAGACAAAAAACAAGCCCATAATGAAAGAACAAGAGAATTCTCCAGAAAAAGAATTAAATGAAATGGAGATAAGAAATCTACCAGATATAGAGTTCAGAATAATGATTGTTAGCATGAAAAAAGATATGGAAACTATGAAGGAAATTAAGAATGACATAGCAGTAATAAAGAATACACTGGAAGGAATAAACAGCAGATTAGAGGAAGCTGAGGATTGGATCCGTGAATTAGAAGACAGGGTGGAAAAAAATCACTTAATCAGAGATCCAAAAAGAAAAAACAATTAAAAAACAAGAGGACAGCTTAAAGGAGCCGTNNAAAGGAGCCGTGGGACAACATGAAATGTGACAATATTTGCATCATCGGAGTGCCAGAAGGTGGAGAAAGTCACCAAGGGATAGAGAACCTGTTTGAAGAAATAATGGCAGAAAACTTTTCTAGCATGGTGAAGGAAAAAGTCACACAAGTTCAGGAGTCACAGAGAGTCCCAAGAAGAACCCAAAGAGGCCCAAGCCCAGACACATCATAATTAAAATGCCAAAAATTCAAGACAAAGAGAAAATCTTAAAGGCAGCAAGAAAAAAGCAATTTGAGCTCCCATAAGGCTGCCAGCTGATTTCTCATCAGGAACTCTGAAGGCCAGAAGGGAATGGCATGAAGTATTCAAGGAAATGAAAAGCAAGGATCTGAAACCAAGACTACTTTGTCCAGCAAAGCAATCATTCAAAATAGAGAGTGAAATAAAGAGCTCTCCAGACAAAAAAAAAGGGTAAAGGAGTTCATCACCACCAAACCATCATTGCAAGAAATGTTAAAGGGACTGCTATAATAAGAAGGAGAATGCTTGGTGGGGCTCCCCTGTGAGGCCATCAGGACCAGGGCTTTTGTTTGCTGGGAATTTTTCTATTATTGCTTCTATTTCATCAGTTGTTGTTGGTCCATTCAGGATTTCTGATTCTTCCTGATTCAGTTTTACATGATCTCACTCATAACAAAATAAACTAATGAACAAAATAGATCCAGAGACATAGAAGCATGGAACAGACTGACGAATCTCAGAGGGAAGGCAGGGGTGGGCAGGTGAGTAGGAAGAGATTAACCAAAGATCTTATATGCATATTATGCATAACTCATGGGCACAGACAATAGTGTAGTGAAGGCATGAGGCAAGGGTGGGTATGGGGTAGAAAGGGTCAAGGGGGAAAAAAGGAGGAGATCTATAATACTTTCAACAATAAAGACAAATTAAATATGTGTGTGTGTGTGTGTGTGTGTGTGTGTGTGTGTGTGTGTAAAATCTCCCATAAAGAGTTCAAAGATCAACTAAGAACACTTACTTAGGGCTAAAGTTGTGCTTTTCCCCCCTCTGACAACACAATATTGCTAGAGAAGTTTCCACTACTTCCCCCAAAAGCTAACATCTGATCACTGAGAAAAATAAAGATAAATTTCTGATTTTCTTCTGCTAGGAAGATCAAGGACAAGATTTTGGGCAAACTGGTTGGTTTGCCATGTCACTGGGGTCACACCAAAGCATCTTATAATTTCCCCAAACCAAGTGCCTCTATGTCAAGAGAAGTATCACTGTAGTGGGGATGCCTGGCTTCCTCCTTCCTCTGTGAATCCTCTAGGGCATGGATATCACCTTAGAGGAATATCAGCCCTATGGGGGCAAACACTGGTTCCTGGAGGGGGACTTGAGAAAAACTCTCAGATTTTACAATGGTCTGTCATCCATTAAAAGGCCATCATGCATAAACAGATATACAGTATATCTGTGGTATTGAAATTTCATGAGGCTGGGACAGACAAATGGAGGAAAAATGTCCTTAGGAGAGCAATAATGAAAAATAGGTTGAAAAACATTGCTCTAAGACCTATACCTTTGAGAATCTATCAAGGAGTTTCATGATGCTACAATGCAATTCACCTGAGCCTGGAGAGTCAATCTCATAACTACCAGATGTTCCCTTAAATATTTTCTTTCCTACTTCAGACTTAAATCAATTTTTGTGACATACAGCCTACTCTTTTTTATTTCAAATGAGTCCGTCTGCTTGCTGTTTAATGATGAAACAAAATAAGGGTTAAAAAGCTGTAACTGCTCTATCAGTAAAACTATACAATGTTCCCTATGTCACAGAACTACTACCTCTTCTTACTCTGATATCAAATATATAATTAAAAACTTAAATACTTTGAGGGTGTTTTTTCTTTAAATTTTCACAAATCTCAGCTTACTCTGGCCACAGGCCTCCCCCACTCTCTTCTTACCGTTTTGTGTTGCTCCTTTATATTCAGCTTTGGCAATGTGCCTCGCTTTCCATTACCTACACTTGACTATTTAAAATATGAAATTTCAAAGGTTCTCAAAGGTAAAGCTAAGTTGGTCTCTTCAGCTTCCTCCCACCTTTTTACTATTTATAACTATTTGCACCTATTCATAATTACAGACTCTCAAATTAGTTCTGTATAGTTCCATTCTATTTTGAATGCCTTGACCTTGGAACCATACTCATTTTCAAGACTTTTTGAAGTCGAAGGCAGTAGTTCCTAATCAAATGTGAGGTCTGCCCTTCATATGTTGTCGGTGTTAATAAAGTGCTGAGGTTTAGCAAAATTTTATCTTTTTGTTTTTAAGCAAACTGGAGAAGAATCAGAGTTATACCTATAATCAAAGAGCAGTTTGTACACCAACATACTTTCTTAAGTAGGAGATAAAGGCATAGAGTCATCTAAAGCTGGAACCCTGGAACTGTGTATAATCCTGAGTATGCTCACGGAGTGTCTTCCACTTAGCATGATCCTCCTGTGTGTTGAGAGCCACTGGCCTAAGGCACATCTAACAATTCTCAGCAATCCCTTCCTTTACTCTTGCCATTCAACCGTGGTTCTCAACTAGTGGCAATACTGCCACTATTCTATTTATGCCTGCCAGAAGGCACTGGAAATGTCCAGGGGAACTTTTAGTTGTTGCAAGGGCATAGGGATAATTCAGTACACCACTGACATTTAGGGATGCTACATACAATGTCCAAGACAGTCCCATCTGCCTAATATGTCAATGGCACCCTGTTGAGAAATACTATGTCTGCATCAACATTTTTTTTCCCAAGATTTATGTTGCTTGCACACCACTAATGAGTTATTTCTAATTCACAGTTAAGACAGAGAAAGAGCTTCTCTGTTTCCCTTACCTTCTAAAAAATGAAACAGTCAGGGAGGGAAGTCAGTAGTGAATAAGTTCTACCTTTAGATTGAGCTTCTAGATGTCAGGATATCTAAAACTCTCATCACCACTACATTTCAATTCCACATAATTTTCTTAGTATGTATAAGCAGCT